TCTTTCTTTCTTTCTTTCTTTCTTTCTTTCTTTCTTTCTTTCTTTCTTTCTTTCTTTCTTTCCTTTTTCCCCTAAGACTATATTCACAAATCTCTTCTTCACAGTTGTAGCTTCATCAATTTCTGTGTGGGTGATAATTCAGCTATTCTTATCCAATAATACTTACCAATACCCTCAGATGTATGTAGTATATATGACAACTCTTCCATCATTTGTAAAGTAAGATGTTATGACTCTATTTATTGCATTGTTCACATGCATGTGAGAAGGATTAGAAAGAAATTCCTAGTAAAGGAATCTCAGTTATTCCTGGCTGTCTGAATCAGTGTCACAGAGTTCAATCTTACCCTCCTCTAATTTAAATCATATGGCTCTTCCTTTGCATGGATATTTTGTAACAAACCATCTCCCCCACAAAAAAAATAAAAAGCTCATGTATTTCAAGGGTAATTAATTTTATTGATGAGAAATATCTTGCAGATATAAAATGGATACAAAATGATTAATTTCTTATCTATATGACAATTTTAGTTTTCCAAACTTTCTTTTCAAAGGTTAATATTCCAGTGTAATTTATTTGTTATAAGGATCCCACCCTCTTCCAAAGATGAATCGGTTGATCATGTCAAAAGCTCTCCGAGGCTGGTCATAGGGTAAGATATGTCCTCCACCTCGAACAATGACCTCAAAGAAAGACAAAAGATGCATTACATTTAGAGAAAGAGGCATTCTAAATAAATGGAAAGCTTTAATTCTGGTTAAAATACTTAAAACTTTTACACAATACAGCAAATATGCTACTAACTCAAGCCTTTGGATATGCTGATTTTCCTGCTTTTGATAGTTATGTTAATAGATACCTTCAAGGTAGGAAAGTTTATTATTAATATTATTTTGATTGTACTCAAAATTATGCTATTCTTTCTTGGAACTGAGCTGTATGTTCTTCCCTCCTCCTCATCTGGAGTGTTGGGCAGCATCTTACCTAGCTGGACTTCCGGTGGGGAGGCCTACACTAGGCCAGGTCTACTTGCAATGAGTACTCAGTTTATGTAATCCTACCTTGTAATTACGAGCCAAGCTGGCTGTCACAGTAAGTAATATTTTCCACCTTAGCTTTTAAGAGTACTAAAGAGGATATTTTGATTCTCTTTTCAAAAAATGCACAACAGAAAGAAATTCACACTTTTTTAGAACACTCTTTTTTCCAAGGTTGTGTTATTAAAACATTTTAAACATATAGCAACTTGAAAGAATTTCACACACTCATCACTTAGATTCACTGTGTTTGCTTTCTCATAGATGCCTTTGCCCATCCCTTGATCCATCCACTACACCCATTTTATTTTTTGACACTTTCAAGTAAAATGGGAATAGCAATATGATTCCCCCAAATCCCTCCACATCACATTAACCAGTATGTGTTTGCAGAATTCTTTCTTTTGAATAAAGTTAAAACAAGGTGAACCATTACCATCTTGAGTATAGATTCACCAGTATAGCTCAGTCACTTCTTCTATTGTTAGTTGGATAAAGTACTCTTCAACTATCTCTAGCTGAGGTGAGTTCAAATGAGGTGAGAGCCACCTGTGAGCTGGCACTGCATGGATGAATGGAGGACTGGCCTCTGTCCTGCAAGTACCCCAAGCAGAGCACCATGTGGAGTCTTCGTGATTCAACACCAAAGGTCAAGGACTGTCAGAGAGTGCTGGGCAGCCACATGTGGGAGGGTGGCCTGAGATGTGGCCTGAAATGTCCTGATGCATATGTGGCATGGACAGTTTACTACAGGACATAGTAAGCATACCTATGCCACATGGGTATCTTGTCCCCTACACTCTAGCCACTGAATAACCATCAGCAACTAAAGGCGAGATGGCTCAGTGGAATAAGCACTTCCTTGGCAAGTGCAAGGGCCTGAGTTCAATCCCCAGTTCCACCAAAAAAAAAATCACTTCACAAGATCCCTCTTAGGAGCTTTTTTAAAAACCTATTTTAATATATAGGAACTGAAGCAAGAAAAAATGCTACATTTATTATATAAAAAAATCCATTCTTCCCACAACACCTGACACCTTATAACTTCATTAGCAGGTAGATAGAATCAAATTTATGAGCTAGATTTCAATTTGTTGTTCACAGCTGTCCAAACTGTAGCTGTTCTACTTTACAAGGTAGCATCATTCCCATGAACATCAAGGTGACTGCACCACTACCTGGAGCTAGGAGGCGGTTTGCCCAAGTCAGTCCCTTGTGAGACAATCAGCTAGAACCCTGACATCAGATACAAATACCAGAGTTTTAGCTAAATCACAGTACTTGCATGCTTGAAGCTGAAATCTCAGCCAGAGGATATCTTTATGCAACTCTCCACATTCCTCTGTGCAGTAAGCGATGCCCAATCCTACTTATGGGTGTGGGATCCGACTGGCTCCTTTTGCATATAAAATGGAAACTACTTTACTCAACACTTGACCCATGGTCATTGACACCTCAGTGACTGTGGACCCTGCCAACCATTTTGCATCCACTTGTGCCCTGGAACCCAGTGTGTTCCATAGCTCTTCCCAAGCTGAAAGCAAACCCACATGTAACAGGAGAACATTCCTGAAGTTCTACAGGAAAACGTTCCCTCCGTCACAGTCCCAGGCTACATCCTCCCTCTGCTGACTCCCGTCCATGTCTCTGGCCCCACTAAGGATCTGCTGAGGGATTTCTGTGCAACTTCAGCCCAGCTGAGGACACTTAGCCAAGTCATCTGGGTGACAGAATCCAGCTGCTTCAACTGGAAATGAGTTTGGCAGCAATGGTCCGGAACAGCAATAAACCAAATACCCAAGAGCTAAAGGTCTTCCCGCCCACAGAACCAGAGCTGTGGCAAATGCACAGCAGCATAGGGATTGCAGTGGGCTCCAGAGTCAGAGCGCACACATATGACAAGAGGCACCGCAAGCTGTGGAACCCGAAGCAGTAACTCTACCTGTCTGAGCCTCCATTCCATTGACCATACAGTGCCCAGGAGAGAAACATTACCTCCTGGGGCCACTGGGCATTACAGGAAGATTTAATGAATCTTCCATGGAACACTTAACGCAGCACTTGGTCTGCATGTTCAATAAATATTAGTCATTAACATTATTCTTCCAATTGTGATACACATTTAAAATTCAAAATCTGAATGTCGGTACCAGATTAATTTCCCTAGAACCCTCCCTTTTCTGATATTTGTATTGATTATCTTGGCTTAAAGGTGTTCTTTAAATAATGATTCTCCCATCTGCACATGTGCAAAACCACCTCAGCTGCCTGAAGCAGAAGGCCCAGGGAGGGGCCTGAGTATCTGCATGGATACCAACTCTGAAGTGTTGCTGCTGCTGTTTCTGTTCCCAGGACTTCTTGTTGGTATCCGCAGTTCAGAACTTTATTCTATGGTGAGCAGGGAATTCTCTACTTACATCAAGGGGGAATGTAAACAGAAATCTGCTTTCCACTTAGGATGCCACCTTAGTTTTTCCTGGTGCCCGTTCCCTGGATGCACCCCCGCACATGGGTGTACTCACACTGTCTACATTCAGGATAAGAAGCTGGAAAGGAAGAGCTCAAAGGTTTGGGCATTATTAGGCTTTCTCAGCAATCTGCCCAACCATGGTTCAGTTTCCAAGCTGCCACATGTAACGACCCACTGACATGGGACACGGTGACATTAAGATCCAAAAAGAAACCTCCTTTAGGAAGAAAGGCCATTTCACATGACCTCAGATTCCCATACAAAATATGTTCTCAAGCTGATTCATAGTTAGTGTTTCCCTGATGCTAATCTCAAACATGAATTCCTGAGTGCTTGAAGATAACCTATGTGGTCATTTATAGCCAAGCATCACTGCTCACAAATCAAGGACCCAAACCACTCTGTAGCTATTAGAGGCATGTAACAAAACATGGCGGGGTCATGATTACGTATTTCAATGTAACGAGATTAATCTCAGGGATCCCTGGAGGGAAAGAGTCCCATCGCCATAACTGTATATTTGAGGTACCTTTCAACTTATGTGTTCCAGATGTGCCAAAGAGGTCACAAACGCATCATGAAGTTTAAAAGGGTTATGCAAACACTTAAAGCTTCATTCCACTTTACTTCTTAGAAAATGATACAATTCCTTCGGGACCCAGCAGTAAATGTTTCTTAGTGGTGCCTTTTTAGACTAGGATTCAGGACCTAACTTTAGGCACATGCACAGTAAGCTTGCCAGTGTTGAGTTGTCAGGGACACTTCTCAGAGGTCTCCCAGAAGGTCCTTGAAGAGACAGAGTGTGCAGGGAAGCAGTGGGGTGTGTGTGATGCCAGGAGTGTACGCTATTCCTACAAATGCAAGGGACCTGATGCCACAGGTACATGCACATGAGTCTCTGAATGCCTCTGTCTGTGAAGGGACAGAAGGAGGACAGAAGGAGAATTGAATGGGCAACATGAGTGGGTCATGTGATGCTCCTGTGAATAACTGGGATGAACAGATCTGATACTGTAGGGGTTTTGTTCCTTATGGTAAAATATACTTAAGATAAATTATAATTGTAATCATTTTGAAGTACACAAATTAGTACCATTTAGCACCTTCAGTGTTGCACAGCCATTGCTACCATCCGGTTGCAGGATGTTTTCTTCACTCCAAGGGAAACCATGCCCATCAGTAGCCCTACACCTCCCTCCTCCCCCATAGGCCTTAGCAACCACTCCTCGGCTTTGTGTCTCTATAGATTTGCCTCTTCTGGGTGGATTCTGGAGGTCTGAAATAGGATAGCAACATGCTCTGATCTTTAGTACAGAAACCTTACCTAATATCTAATGAAGAGGTTGACTTGGAATGTGGTGATACTGGGGCAAAGGGGAAAATAAGTAGACTATTAGATCAGGTAAGAGATCATGAAGGCTTAGGGGAAATACAGGGAACAGAGGGAGGAAATGAGGATGTTGGGGTGGAGCCAAACAAAAAATCAGTGATTGACCAGATATAAAGGTTAAATGAGCCCCTTCTGATTTCAGGCTTCTGCAATATGCAGATTTGCAGAGGGTAGTGCTGTTAATCAGGATAGGAGAAAAGAGACTCATGGGAGATGCAGGTTGAGGGACAGAACATGAACACTTGGTTTATCCTGATTTCCATTACTCAATGATGCATACACTCTAGAGACTTTTGCTTGTTCTGCAGGTCTCTGATTTACACTGAAGTTCTTTTACCATTTTTATCCCACTCTACATTTACTAAATCTCATCTCTTAGCTTTCAGACACTAGCTATAAGTAGAAATAAAATAAATATGCACTCAAAGACATAGGAAAATGTGAAGGCATTTGGAAACGAGAATAAGAAGCAAGCCAAAGCTTGTTAGTAGACACTTCCTAACAAAGAATGAGGTAAGGTACTTGCAAAAAATAAACAGGTCCTGGATCAAGGCAGAGTTGATCACCTACATGTAGGGAAAACTATCACTGACATTTCTCATCTTGCACTGTAGTCTAGGACATGATTACAGAGTAGGCAGCAAATAGGGGCTTCTAGGGCCTTCCAGGAGCCCACATGTAGCCCTAAGGGGTAGCTTTCCTGGAGCAGTTAAGACAAACTTTCTGCCTGCTCCACAGCACCCAAAAAGGGCTGTGGCACATCTCACTTAATCAATTGCAATGCCA